GATTCTGGTTGTACGTTGCCTGAAGGCCAACACCTGTCTCTTATACACATCTAGATGTGTATAAGAGACAGGTTCAGAGCTACGCTGTGATTCAGGACGTCTGGGGCTCTTTCCGCTGTCCATGTTGTCCAGACGAACAACCAACCGGAGTGATTACCAGGACCCAACACAAATTGTAGAGGCCCCAGATTTTTTATCTGAGACCAGAGAGTAGTGCGGGGCGCCGGGGGGGCATGTTGGCCAGGCCTCATTCCAAAATGGACCAGCTGGATCAAGCCGGATAAAAAAAGGACACCCAATTGGCACTGTAGATCTTCTTTATCTAACAGCCTAGATCGGGCCACATTTGCTAGTCTGTTGCTTCACACCAACACACCCCATGCCTGCAACAAGCACTTCCAACATTGGAGTTCTCCTTCCCACAGCAGTGGCCATCGCCCCAGCCCTCGCTAACACCGGCTTCCACAGCTGAGTGGCCCACCCTTCCTATCACCATCTTCTTCTTCCTCCACATCACCCTCGTCCTCCCTCCTACTACTTTTTCCTCATCGTATTTGTCCTCTTCTTCCTTTTCTTCTTCCTTCTCTTCTTCGTTCTCTTATTCCGACTTTTCATCCTCATTCTTTCCCGTATTTTTTGGGATCTTCGTCCTCGATTTGTTCATTCCGTTCATCTACAGCCACTCACAGACGAAACGTGCAAGCTTGAGCGTGTGTAATTAACTCACCCTAGCAACTTTCTTGTTCCACACAAGTCGTGACATCACTAGACTGCAGACAGTGCAGAGTAAAAAATTGGATCTCACTGGTTGCTCCTTCTGACCTGCAGGTGGGAAGGCACCCAAGCTTGAACTGAAGGGTGGCAGGCTGCTGTTTTTCCCAGCCGCTCGTAAATTGCCCTAACATTCGGACAGAAACAAGAACTGGGGCACTACAGCACACCCCTCACTGATTTCTCTGCCACCTGCATGGACTCAGTTGGACTCCAATGCAACTGTTGTGAGCTCAATTGACCACGTGCGAAAGGTTGATGGAATTGAGAGCCTTCCTTTAAGTTTGGGTCATCTGCAGCAACTAGATGCTTGAAGCAACCAGGTCACCAATCTAAGAGGGGTTCACACAGTGAATCTGAATCACAATGCGACTGGAAGGGTGGAAAAGCGCTCGACAGAAGTGTTAGACAAAAGCAAAGACATCCACAGTACGGGACAGAGCCACAAGAACTCTCTACTGCAATGCTGTCTTGCAGTCTCCCGAACAGGACCAGAACGTCGCAATGTCAGAACACATATTCAAAGCTTCATTTTTCCCCTTTCTTAACAAACACTTCAGTGAGGACAGGAAAACCATTTAATTAAATAACCCAAAGGAGAAACAGGGAAACAGAGTGTTGAATGGTTAAAGATACCTCAGCTTTATCTTCCACCATATCATCATCATCCTTGTCATCTCCATCGTCATTCCCTTGCTGTCGTCTAGGTTCTTCACAAAGCGACACCATGACATGGAAATCATCACCACTGCCTTCCTGTTCTGTCTTGACCTCATCGGGTGCAGGAAGGAGCTCTTCTTCTGTCTTTATCCTCTCCCACACAGATGCATTTTTGTGGCCCCACATGTCGTCCGTTGTCCAACCTGCATCCGCTTCTACCTGATTGTGCAAATCATCTTGCTCAACCACATGCCCTGCTGCAGCCATCTCGGCATCCTCTTGACTGCTTGTACCAGTTGCAGCATTCTTGTAGTGAACTGAATCCGGCCAACCATTTCTCCCCTCAATGTCTACCCCATCTGTCAGTGTCATATCAACACGGCTGTCGTAGGCCAGCCGCTTCTTCAACTCACGGGCTCCTTCACATTCTGGCTGCGTCATATCCTGAGAAGCTGCAGGCTCTGGTCTTTGACGCCAGTCCACATTTAACCGATCCATCTCAGACACCATCTGGTCTTGCTCAACATCCCCTCCTACCCACTCACGAACCGCTCGTTCGCCTTCAACAGCTCTCTGCTTCACACGCTTTTTCCGAGAACCTCCTGATATTTCACCTGAAGTCCGGTTCGACGACCTTCCATGATCTCTTCTGTGCCTCACCTTCCCAGATGACGGTGCTGTCCAAGCATCACCATTGTCTCCACTGACTCTCTGGTGAGTAGACCCAGGATCAGGCTCCTGGTGATCATGCACCTCGACACGGCTCCTTGAACCCATCTGTTCCCACGTAGTGCCAGACACTGCTGTATCCCCCTTAATGCTGGCTGAGACAGACACATCTTCGGCACGGCTCCTTGACCCCATCTGTTCCCACATAGTGCCAACCGCTGGTATATGTCCCTTAATGCTGGCTGTGACAGAAACATCTTCAGCAGCCTCGGCTGCTGCCCTGAGCACTGCCACACCCAAACTATTTCCGAGCATAAGCCGTGGTCGTTCCCTGGAAGACGAATTACCATTCGACTCAGGGAATAAGCCTGGCCCCTCCTTATCAGCATCTGTACAAAAGTTGAAAAGATCCTTGTCAGAACGTCGGCTACAAATGATAACAAGAGAACAGCCATAACAGTCAAACAAAAAAGAACTGACAACAGCATCAAGTGCCCCCTGACAACAGCATCAAGTGCCCATCAAGAAAGGCTAGTAAGGGGTCTCCCATAAGCGAAAGACGGAGAAATGGGGTTGTTAAACTTGTTATCGTTCTTTTTCTTTTTTTAGGTATGGGAAAAAGGGAAGACGTGAGCATGGAGGGAGGACAGTCAAGGAAAGAGAGAGAGGACAATACTTCAGAGGTTGGGAGAGGTGATCATGTGTAGTATCATACTGGGAGCACATTATAGGTCTCTCCCAGTTTGGGAGCAGGTTGTTCTGTTTACAATTCGCGACACCAGTCATTGGCATGAATGGAGCCCTGAACGAAATGCTTGGAAGGCGAAAGTGTCGGCACTGTGCTGCCTTTTGTTGCTCTCTCTCTCTCTCTCTCTCTCTCTCTCTCTCTCTCTCTCTCTCTCTCTCTCTCTCTCTCTCNAAGGGCACACATATCAGGACTGCTACCGTCTTCACCCGAAAATAACGCCCGGGCATTGTATACGAATATGACGCCCGTCGGGCGTTATATTCGTTCTGTCTCTTATACACATCTAGATGTGTATAAGAGACAGCACACACACACATCTCACACACACACACACACACACACACACACACACACACACACACACACACACACACCATGTAAAGGGCTCACCACAACATGCTTGGAATGCTCCTTCTAGCCAGAATTCAAAATTTCCCTGAGATTTTAGGAGTGAAAAAAATAGATTCCCTGAATCCAAACCTCTCATAACACACAATTCAGCAATCGTGAAACTCTCCTGACAACCGATAAGCTGTTTTTCCGGATATACAGGCACCCTCCTGGATTGTCAACCCAATTTCAGAAAAAAATGGTGTGTGGATATCCAGCTTGGACATCCAGCCCAAAAATTCCTTCCCAAGCTCTGCACATGCCCCCCATTCCCCCCTACTCTCGAAACCCTCCCGCCCCCCCTACTCACTTGACTGCATAGCAGTCGCCAGTCCACGCATTACCATCAGGCATGAACAGGAGGTCAATACCAAATTTCGTCGGCGTGCGCCCTGATTTTTCATGTGATGCCAATGAAGTGCCAAAAGGTCTCTAGGATGAACAACACCAAGCACAGGAAAGTGCCACTCACCTGGATAAACAACTGCCACCGACCGCAGCCGCTTAGGGCTAGGCCTTTCTGCCCTGCTTCCAATATCTGACTCCTGCTGAGATCTATCCCTCTCTGCTTGATGTCCGGAAGATCGCGGACGACGCAAATACTCTCGTCTTCCAGAGAAGCCATTCTCCTGCATTCACATGTGAGCGACCAAATTCAGCTGTAAAGGAAGCCTGGCCTGAAGTCACAGCAGCAATAAGAATCGACAGAGTACAGTGGAACATCTTGTTGTTCTTGCAGCATGGAATGGTGTTCCTCTGGCAGCTTCACAAAGTCAATGATACACTGTGCTTCATCAACATAGTCAAGCACCACCCCGAAGTTGAGCCATCACCTAATCCCAAAGCCAGTGCTGCAGCCACAGCCTGTCGTTCACATCGCAGTGGTTCAGAGCGACAGGAAAGCCAATCCTAAGCATGGTTTCACACCACGCCTTAGGAATGAAGCTCAGAAAAGGAGAAGATGTTTAACGCACGGTCCAATAAGAGGAAGGTGGGGATTGAGTGGGTGGGTGAGTGGGTGGGTGGGTGGGTGAGTGAGGGGCAGGGATTATTTGGTTCATGAACAGCAAAAACCTAAATTATGGCACAAGTTTTCTGTTTGAGCCTTTGAGGCGATTTTTTAATTTTTAAATTTTTTTTGGCTTTTCCATCAGATTTACACTCTAGAGTTGACAAGACTCGCCAAAGGCAAGCCTACCGCACCTCTCAGTTTCCCATAAAGCTTTTCCAGTTTCCCATTCTAACCTCTGCTTCTTTGCAACAGTGTCAAAAGTCTATGCTGGTCTGATGGCCACTCCTACGGTCCATCAGGCCAAAGACAGACTGCCTGGGTGCAGGGAATCCATGCAGGTAAGGGCAATCAAGATCGCACTCACTAAGGGAAGTTGAACCTTCTTCCTCTTCAAGCATATGGCACTCCAACACCCGCATTGCATCCCGCCCCACCTTGCGCGCCAAACAAGTCATCAAGCGAGATATCCAACCGACCAGTCTGGACAGTTCTTTATTTGTCAGCCTGGAATGGCCATTCACTCGTGAAGTTTGGCTAGCCCCTGATTTCCCTGTCACCACCTGGGCATATTAAACGTTTCGCAGATGAATCCTTCCGTACTAGCAATTCTACACAGCTGCTTAAACCACCACTACATCGACTTGTTATGATTCTGGTTGTACGTTGCCTGAAGGCCAACACCCACTCACATAAACTTCTGCACATGCCCATACACACACAGAAGGAAGGGGAGAGGATAGGAGTATCACACCGCACAGGGAGAGATAAACACAGCGGACGACTTGTCCATGCGATATGACAGGATACACTGAAAGTGCAATTCACTCCATTCAATCCTCACAACCAGTCATAGAGAAAAGCCGAGCAGATCACATCCAGGAAACAATGAAACGATGATAGTCCAAACACAGTTACACACTGTTTATTAAACTCAGAGTCTCGAAATGTCAGGATCACTCCAGAACTACAGTGCGCTGCTCAGAATTGAGCAGCGCTCCACTCTCCAACCCTGATTAACCCCCGGAACACCCCCTGAGCCCTGAAACATCAAGCGCCACCCAAATACAGACTGCTGGGGGCAGCGCCACCCTGAAACAGGCCTCTGAGGCCAAGCGCCACTCAGAGGATGAAGAAGAAGACCAGCACCACAGTATCTGATGATGACGAAGTGTCGGGAGACTTCCCGGGTGGAAGCCTGCAGCAGCGCCACCAAACCCTGATCAGATGACCTCTGAGATAAAGAAGCTGCAGCTATGGCTGCAGCGCAAACCCTCTGGGACCCCACTCCGGAGGAGGGTCCAGCAGGGCACCAATCTCTCTCGCCTCCAGCAGACCTCCATAACCCAGACCTCTGTCAGCCCCTGCGTGGTGGCAGAGTACAGCGCAGGTCCCAGCTATGGCCTGCACTCCGATGGTCTGGCTATGCCCGTCTTCCTCCACGCTGAGCCGTCAGCACTTCCGGTTCCCACATAGCGCAGCAGCGATGTACATGGTACCAACTGCCAAAAGCCCTGAACCGATGTCCCCATCCTACTTCTAGCCTACACCGACCTAGACCGGACTGACTGACCGACCGGTACCATATCTGTTTCGGCCTCTCGGCCTCTACCGGACCCGGCTATAGGCTATAGGACCGTCTATTCAGAATAGGCCCATAGGGCCTGTCTGTCTAGGGGTAGCCCGGGCCTGCTATCCGCAGTTAGGGTAGCTGTAGGGAATCAAGTTAGTACCGGGCCTGTATTTTCCCGTATTTGCAGATATGTCCCTCAAGAATTTCCCTCTAGCCAAACAAAATTACGAATCTGTCCTACCTATAGTACAGCCTCGACAGAGAGAGGCTACAGGCGACCAGAAAACAGCAAGTCATTGCAGACTTCCATAAATCACTAGGCCCAGATTTTCACCTCTCAGACTGCTAGAAACCGGTACAATGCCGGCCTTGCTAGGCTCACGGAACAGGCTCACGGGCCAGGTTCAGATGTTGTGGTCTAAAGACTTTGCATACCCATGCATGTGATGCCTCTTTCTGGCCTTCTCATGCTTGTATCCGTGTTCCTGTGCTCCTCACCGGCACAAACCAAACGTGGTTCAACTTGATTGCGCAACTTGAACACTACATCCGGAGCTTGCTTCAGGTGACCTGCCTCCAAATGGCCCATTCCTGTTGCCGCTGCTTGAACACTACATCCGGAGCTTGCTCCAGGGGACCTGCCTCCAAATGGCCCATTCCTGCTGCCGCTGGTACTCACAGGAGAAAAGGGATTTGGGCCCTAAACCAAGGCATTTGTTGCTCCGTCCGTTCCCTTCTGAGTCAGTACAGTAGTATCAAGCATATGTCTGATCCGCTCTTCCTCCCAACCTCAATCGCGCAGTCACACAATGAGGCCTCTTTCTCAATGTATCCACAACGACTACTGTGTGTAATTACCAATCGGCATGACTGGATATGCCCACCTTGAAAGGCGCTGTGAGCTCTGGTTTCGCTGGTCTGCCCAGGTGTCAAGCCTGGGCAGCTCCGAAACTGACCAAACCGTGAGACAAAGCAGTGCATGTTTGCACGTACATCATCACTGGAAGATATGATAATGGGTGGAAAATGCCCTCATGTGTGTTGCTGCATTTAATATACAAGAGAATCTCATACATTCCCTGGCATTACCCTGATTGTCTTGTTTCTACCTGCTGCTCCATTTCTGGAGGAAACCACATCCAACCTATCAGCAAACATCTGGACACCTCCAAGGACTAAACAAAAATGTACTTTTTTCAGAATGTTAAATCTGCGAAACAAACCCACATTCATTGAAATTGAAAGAGGAGGTCAGGGAAGGAGGAAAGACAAAAAAAACGTTGGGCTTTCAGATCCAGATGTCAAGCTCCATGGACACCACTATATGGCCTTGCTCTATCCCGTTGTTTAATCATTTACTCAAATGCTTGTGAATCATAAGATCGACATGTGCGACAACCCTCTTGTTCTCGTAGTCGCCATCTTCTCTCAAACATAAAGCATAGTCATTATAGCTGCATTTAGGGCAATTTCCGAGCCAGATACAGCTATAAGGGTTATGAATTATGTTCGGGGGAAGACGGTGGTTACGAGCATCATACACCATCCAACTCCTTGGAAACAGTTAGAGTGTGACTCCCCTGCGCCCATTGAACGAACACGTTGTTCCAGACTAAAACTATAAGTGGGATTAGGGCAGGAACACAAATGGGATCCTTTCACCAAACAATGACGCACCTCATCATGGTCTCTTCTCGACTCCCTCTTATGCCAAAACCCCTCTCTTGATGGGGACCTGTACTTCCTTGATTCTGATCGCCCATGTCCCTGCTCTCTGTGGCCTCCTGCACTTCGCTCGGCCCAGAAGTCTGGATACGGTGAGTGCCCGCCAGAACGCCGGACACGCCCTCGAACACCACCCTCTCGTTCCAGCTCCGCAAATTTTAGTGTTTGAGCTGCCTGCTCAAGCTCCCTTCCTCGTTTGATTTTCGGTCTTCTGTTCCCAAAAAAATCAAAGCAATTAACCATCAGCCATTATCATTTCAGACAATCTGAAATAACGATTCGTTCTTCATTTTGTATGTTCTCGTTTTGTTGATGGGCCTGTAAGTAAGAGGTCGTCGGCTGCTTCATACGTTGAAAGGCGAGCGAGCAACAAAGCGCTTCTACATGAGCTCTCCCCCATTTCTCTACCACCTTCCCTATCACACATTATCCTCCCTCATGTCCAAGCAAACGTCAGTAATTGGACTCTCTACTGGAGGTAGGATGCCATCTTGCCAAGCCCTCCTTTTTCAGGCCATCAGCACACACACACAAACCACATTTACTCAGATCAGGCCAAACCACCTCCACACAAGAATATTCTCCAGGACAACCAATACGCCGACAACGAAAACAAAGACAGACTGCCTGAAAAGCATTTGAAACCATGTCAAACTCGGGAATTACACAAATGCCAGTTGAGGTCCTGCAAAATCTGGAACCCACACAGAGACGATAAAGAAAAAGGGGGAAAGAAGTCACAGTTTCACTGACCCAACGGCCAACACCATTGGTGGCCGCAACAGCCAAAGGCACGGTCGCAGTGGCCTCAACTGCGAACACCATCGATAGCCGCAATAGCCGAAGTAAGGGTCTTACTGACCTCAACAGCCAACACCATTGGTGACGACAATAGCCCACACCAACATCTGACTGCTCATTTAGACCTGACTGACCCAGTGGAACCAACCCGCCGGATCCTTGACAGCCAGGGCCAAGTTTGTGGAATTGGCTGCTGGGTTCAACTTCAGAAGTCTCACACCCCCAAAAGAGTACCTGTTTGCGCAAGTTTACAGGTCTCCCAAGTGGAAGGCAGGGGAAAGGGAGAGGCAGCAATCACAAAATCTGACATCAGCCGTGCCAGCAGAGCAATGTTGGGAGCAGACAGGACCCAAATCTGCCCCAGCATATCATTCCTTTTGCACAAGAGTGCATGGTTGCACAGGAGTACTGGGTTGCATACCCGCCGACCACCGACGCTGACGCTGACCATTTTGCAGCCTACCAGCAGTTGTGCCGACTGGTCGGCAGTCTGCCAACCAGTCTGTAGAGGGTCCTCCGCTGATTTGTTTTTCAAATCTAAGTTCGGGGCTGTACTGCGGTTGGGGTGCTGGAGGGCGGTATGGGTTGCAGGGGTGTTGGTGCAGTTATCGGGGGTTATGGGACCTGCCAAAAAAAGAAAAAATGTGGAGTGCCAACCGACCGCCAAACGATAGGTTCTGAAGGGGGGAACAGTCGGCTGGTCGGCCGCCAACCAATCAAGGGGCGCCGAGCGTCAGGAGTAGATGGGTACATGTTTGCACAGGAGTAGATGGATACATGTTCCGACAGCTTTACAGTCATTCCGCCGGGAGAAGGTGAGGGGAGAGGGAGAGACCGCAGACATAACAACAGCTGAAATCAGCCATGCTGGCCAGGCAGTCACACAGGGAGGTGTATCACAGAATGACCATGCACTCTTAAGGGAATGTTCACACGAGAACATTCCAGAATGAATCTGGCGTAACCTGTGTTCAAAAACATCCATGAAAAAATCAACAGAGAAGTTGTGTCACAGGTAAACCACATCTATACATTTTAAGGGCACACATATCAGGACTGCTACCGTCTTCACCCGAAAATAACGCCCGGGCATTGTATACGAATATGACGCCCGTCGGGCGTTATATTCGTTTATAACGCCCGGGCGTTATAATCAGTAAATTGGTGGCAAGTTCGGTGGGCCCCCAAGATTCCGGGAAAAATCAAATTAAAAAATTCTGTAAAAAAAAATATGTTGTCCAATGCAACCATCTTTTGGCTGAGGGTCACTACAGATTCCTTATAAACTCGGAGATTAAAATAATAATAATAATAATAATAATAAACCGAAATATGACCTTTGGAAGTCAAAACCCCTTTCAACCCCCTTTAAAACCCATGTACATCCCCCTCCCCGCCCTTTCACACCCATGTATACTATATTCGTTTATAACGCCCGGGCGTTATAATCAGTAAATTGGTGGCAAGTTCGGTGGGCCCCCAAGATTCCGGGAAAAATCAAATTAAAAAATTCTGTAAAAAAAAATATGTTGTCCAATGCAACCATCTTTTGGCTGAGGGTCACTACAGATTCCTTATAAACTCGGAGATTAAAATAATAATAATAATAATAATAATAAACCGAAATATGACCTTTGGAAGTCAAAACCCCTTTCAACCCCCTTTAAAACCCATGTACATCCCCCTCCCCGCCCTTTCACACCCATGTATACTACCTCTACAAGGCACTCTGCCCATGGAACATTGAAATATAACGCCCAGGCGTTCTATTTGAATACAACACCCGGGCATTATATTCGAAGGGGCATTCTATTTGAGGAAAAGAGAGTAAAACCTGAGTGCGGATCCGGGCCGCCCGGGTGACCGGCAGGGGCCCGGGGAAGGTCCCGGGCGGCCTGGCCGGGCCGGGCACCCGGTTGGGGGCCGCCCCCCCCCCCCAGCGCAGTCACCTGTCGGAGGATTTCTGACCCCCTTTGTGTGTGTGTGTGTGTGTGTGTGTGTGTGTGTGTGTGTGTGTGTGTGTGTGTGTGTGTGAGAGAGAGAGAGATAGATGTGTTCGAATCATATACTTGTGGCACATCTCATGCGCGGGGTTGCCGCACATGCATGCACGTACGCACAAGTGATGCGGCACATTAAAGAAGTAGAAAAATAAAAACGTCCTCGTTGTCTCCAGCCTCTTTTCGGAAGGATCCGTACAGCATATTAGCTAGGACCCGACGTCATGCCGAGATACACTTCAAACTTGTACTTCGTGAGGGTGGGCAGAGAATATATAGTCTGGATTCGAATTCAGGTCTGTGCATCTCGGTTATGGGTCACTATTTCTCTGTTTTCCTGCTTTTCTTTTCTTTTCTCGTTTTTCTCTTCTTAGGAATACGTGCAGTGGCCCTAAGGGCCTCTACTCACCAAATGCACAAAAGACAAAACATATGGTGGTGTATTATTCCACGTTCTGCAGAAGATTCATTCTAATTTTGCACATTTCATGAGTAGTGCAGCCAAGCCCTAAGAGTCACGTGCAGAGACCAACAGGGCCTAGCTACGTGAGCAACCCATAACTGCTGAAACACAGACCTGAATT